GAGCGTTCTGTCTTCCAGCAGCAAGAGGACATTTGAATTTATTTCCTCCTGTCCTTTCTCTTACCTTCCTAATCTACAAAACATTACCTTAACTTCTTGAATTCATGCTGTTCGTTGAATTACAACCCCAGTCATTCAGGCCCGACGCACCGAACAGCTTCCACTATCTAACAACAACCATCCTACCTATTTCTTATTTGTTTGTTTCATTGTTTGATTTATAATCTCTCTCGTTTATTCAGGCACTGGATGCAGGGGAGCCATACCAGGAAGCCTAAAGAGAAGCATTTTGAATTTATTTCCTCTTTCTCTCTGCCAGCACTTCCTATTAAACTCATCCCTACCCCTTAATTTCATTAATTTCTGCTTTGTTTCATGTTGAATTTATAATTCTCATTTTATTTTCAGGAGGATGGTACACGCGGGAGCACCCAGCAGGGCATCTACAGAAGAGGAGATTATTCCCGATCTGTTTTTATTTCCCATCACTAAATGATTCTATGTTTTTTTTAGTTCAGTTACCTCTATCCCGCTTTAAAGACCAACCCAGGGTAAAGGAGCTGCCCTGTGACTTACTTGTCGCTTTTTCTCCTTGGTTACGGCAGTAGTTTGATCGATATGTGACCGCCTCCAAGTCAAGATTCGGACTAGCGACCACATTGAGGAGGATATGTCACCTATCTGATTTTGTTACTCTTCCTTGTGGGTGTTCTTGTGATTGTCTTGTAACAGGTAGGTGGCGTTGGAGAGCAGACCGAACAGATCCCTAGTGAGGAAGATAATGAGTGTCCATTTCTTCTGTTTGTGTAAGTCTTTGCTTTGCATTTTGTAACTTAGGAATTGTTTTGATGTTTGATTGCTTTGTTAGCAGAGAGGTGTATCTGGAAGATCCAGTCAAGAGAGAGGAGGTAGATCACTGACTCTAGCTTTTGATCTTTCCTGCCAAAATGGATCCATGACCCTGATTCCAATTACGGATGCAGCAGAAAGCCCCCAGCCAGAAGCATTTTGAATTTATTTCTTTCCTTCTGTCTCTTCTCTGTCTTCTGTGCACTTCCCTAATCTAACAGCACTAACCATCCCCTACCCCTTAACATCGATTTTGTTGTAATTTCCTTGAATTTGTGTGCTTTGTTTCATTGTTTTGAATTTTTACTAATCTCGTCTCAGTTGTATATTTTCAGGCACTCGGACGTGGTACAACGCGGGAGCACCCAGCCAGCCTCCAGCCACCCAGCCAGCCACAGATGAAGAGGAAGGAGCCCATTGCCCAGCTTTGTCTAGCGGCTTACATTTGCCAAGGCGGTGAGTAAAGGGCTGCTTTTGTAGCACATGTGGTTTCCTGTTTTGCATTATAACTTGATCATAGCAGCTATTGACCTTCTTTTGACCTCCTGATTTTCTGTGTTTTCAGGAGCGTCGATCCCACCGAGACATTCAGCAGCATTCTGGGTAACAAGGATCGACTGCGACCGCACATGGAAGAGAGGGTAAGATTGGTGTCCCACCTGAATTTACTGTGTTGATTTATCTTTTCCTCATCTCGCTTGATGAAGACTGTGATCTCTTGATGTTTTCTCTTTTTACTGTAGATATGCGGTGTGATGCAGCCCTCTGTTCCCAGTCCTTTGAAGAGGAGTCTGCCAACCCAGGGACGGTAAGATACTTTGTGAACGCCTCGCCCTCTGTGAACTTTCTTCATTTTGACTCTTTCACTCTTGGCACACTTTTTTGACTTCTCCATCTTTGGTGTCAACAGGTCAGGGTTAGGCTGTTGTGGATTCCCAGATGATTAGTAGACTGCGGCCTGCCAGAGGAAGTGCGCAGAGTTCAGGGACGTACTGCGGCCATCTCCGGCGTTGAAGGTAAGCGGATGCGCAATCAGTGTACACGGTTTATTCTGTGGTCCTTGTTTTGGGAGTGCTTCTTGGGGTTTGACCTGTGGACATCTCTTTTAACAGGTACGGGGTTGGACTGGCCTGGTTGCGTGGAAGAAGAGCAGAACGTCACCAGTAGGCAGCAGTTCTGTGATGCACTGCGGTCAATCCCTGACGTGCAGGTAAGATGCAGCACATCTTGCAGTGTGTCCACTTTCCTTACTCTGTGTTTGGGTTGAAAGGTGTCATAACTTTGCTCTTTGCACTCGCTGAAATTTTGTTAACTGTAGGAAGTTGTTTTGATGTCTCGATTATGCTTTGTTAGCAGAGGAGGAGGTGTATGCTGACCCGGGAGGATCCCAACAGCAGGCAAGAAGGGAAGAGGAGGTAAGATTCACACTGTACATCTTTGTCTCAGCCTTTTGTGATCTTGACCTTGCCAAATGATGTTGACCGTAACAGCATTTGACCTCTTGACTTCCAATTGACAGGATGCGCAGCAAGCAGCAGAGCCCAGCCCAGCCCAGGATCCAGCGCAGCCCACACCAGCCAGCCCATCCCACCAGAGGATCCAATGCCGTTACCAGGCAGCCTAACAGAGAAGCATTTTGAATTTATTTCTTTCCTTCTGTCTCTTCTCTGTCTTCTGTGCACTTCCCTAATCTAACAGCACTAACCATCCCCTACCCCTTAACATCGATTTTGTTGTAATTTCCTTGAATTTGTGTGCTTTGTTTCATTGTTTTGAATTTTTACTAATCTCGTCTCAGTTGTATATTTTCAGGCACTCGGACGTGGTACAACGCGGGAGCACCCAGCCAGCCTCCAGCCACCCAGCCAGCCACAGATGAAGAGGAAGGAGCCCATTGCCCAGCTTTGTCTAGCGGCTTACATTTGCCAAGGCGGTGAGTAAAGGGCTGCTTTTGTAGCACATGTGGTTTCCTGTTTTGCATTATAACTTGATCATAGCAGCTATTGACCTTCTTTTGACCTCCTGATTTTCTGTGTTTTCAGGAGCGTCGATCCCACCGAGACATTCAGCAGCATTCTGGGTAGCAAGGATCGACTGCGACCGCACAGCAGTCAAGAAGAGGTAAGATTTATACTTTACATCTTGCTGCCTTTCATGATCTTTACCTTTTCAAATGATGTTGATCCTATCAGCATTTGACCTTGTTTTTTAATTAACAGGATGTGCAGCTAGCAGTAGAGCCCATCTGAGCCCAGCCCAGCAGAGGATCCAGGTATCTAACACCTCTAACAAATCACTTTAACAAACTTCCAACAAATAACTCTAACAAACTTCCAATAAATAACTCTATCAAACTTCCAACAAATAACTCTAACAAACTTATAACAAATAACTCTAAAAAACCTGTAACAAATCATCCTAACCAACTACCAACAAATCATCCTAACCAACCAGTAACTAATCATCCTAACACTACTAACAGTCTGCTTAATGTTGTGTGACGCGTCTAGTGTGTTGGTGTTAGTGTCTGTGTGCTTGTCACCTCTCACTTTCAGCCATCACCGCTGGCTAGCAGCAATGTGAAAAGGGAAGGAATTTTTATGTCTTCCCCTGCCAGTACATAGCCTCTCCACAACAAGTCCTATGCGATGCCTCCACGTGGAAGCAGACGGATACTGGGCAGCTTTTGGTCCCAGGCTAAGTTCGCAAGGGCGCAAAGGAAGATGAATCTTGATAGACTTTACTGGTATCTATCTAGGAGAGAAAACTGATCACAACCCCAATTTAGTAGGGGACCCAATTGATATAAGTTGGCTATTTATCCCTATTAAAATAGAAGGGAACCTTTGTCCATTGTCTGTCGTCGTCTTCTTTGTTGTATATTTTCACATTTATATCTTTAGAACTACTGGGCCAAAGTCAGAAAAACTTGGCACAGAGTATCTCTGGGTAAATGAGATTTAAATTTATAAATGAAGGCCTACGCCCTCTTCCAAGGGAAGATTTTTACATAAGTGTAAAATTAATGACATCATTTAAAAAAGATCTAAAGATTTAAAAATCTTTTCAAGAACCACTGAGACAGTAAAGGTTACACTGATGTGAAATCATCCTTACTTAGTGAAGATTTAAATTTATTCAAATCAAGACCCCAGGGATAGGAAGGGACAACTACAGTTATTTGACCAGTTCCGAATATGAAATGGATTCGGGGTTGCTATGAACATACGAGACATTATTTCAAAATCTAAGTCTTTTTGTCACGGTAGTTCCATGACTTGTGGAATCAAATATTGTTTCATAAAAGTTCAGCCTCCCACCCCAAAAAATTATTTCGCATGTTAACAAAGGTGTTCATTTTACCAGTTACGAATAAGCCGACGAGTTCCGAATGCCCTAGCGGTAACCATTCAATTCAACCCTAAATTGAAAAATATATTGACATGCATAAGAAAAGTTAAATTAAATGCTTACCAATAAGTTATTTGTATTTTGAAAGGATAAAGAGAAACTAGGGGTACTGTGAACACTGAGCTAACTTTAATAATACCACATGCCTCTTATATGATTTTTATGACACAATCCATGTTTTGCTCTAGCTAGGACACCCAAAATATGTGTCAGATCAAAAAAATATAATAAGAGGTCACATGTACAATGTAATAAAGAATCTATGAAAGTATCTTTAAATCATATTCAGTGGAATGGAGGAACTGTGGATAAAAGATGGATATACCCTTCAATATTTGAAAGAATGGCAGTATCCATGTAATGCCAAGGGAGTCCAGATTATGTGCCAGATCAAAAAATAAAATAGACATTGTACTTTGGCACTATTTAACAAAGATTCTATGTAAGCCTCATTAAATTCTGTGAAGCCTTATTAAATTTCATTCAGTGGTAGAAGAGGAGTTGTGGATAAGAAATAGGTACCTCAAAGCGCAGCAGACGGATGGACATACAGACAGATGGATGGACAAACATCCCATCACTATACCCCCCCCCCCCCGCCGGCTTTACAAGTGGGGTATAATAAGTCACGTTTGCAATGAAGAAAACAACGAAGAATGAATTTATAATAGTGTTTAAAATGGGTATTTGGAACTAGTAAAATGACAACACAAAAATATTCTGATATCTTCCAGTGTTCTAAATATTTTTTTAGACAAGTTTTTAGTATTTGTTAGAGTATATATCAAACTTACTTTTGATACCTGGAATGTTGTTTTATACAAAAAATTGATGTCTCTACAGCTGTTTTTCTGCAGACTTATGCATTGCTGTGACGCAAATTCAGATTTGTTGCATTTGTTTGTTTCTGATGCTCATTTCATCCTCTGTTTTCAGGAGATCCAGCACATCACTTCAAAGGGCCATAACTCTGCTGTTCAGATGACAAATCCAATGAGACTTCAGAGGGGTGTGTGGTATGGCTTAAGAAGATTCTGTGCCAATTTTCATCAAATCAAAGAAGGTTAGTGTCTTTATTAGGTTACAGGATACTAATTTTACCCCTATTTTATTGACCACGAAAGTAGTACCAGTTTAAAGATAGAGGTTTTTTCTTTAAAAATCTTGGGAGTGTATATGGGGTGGAATGGGGTTCTTTTGGGGCATAGATCTAAAGGAGAGGGTCTGAAAAAAATTATAAAATTAAAATTAATGGGAATTTTGCTATTAAGTGCATAGTAGGAAGGGTGTAAAGAGGCCATTGCCATTGTTTACCTGTTTCTCAAAGGGAAATGGAAATATGCAGGGTAGGGGTTAATTGCGGTGCCATAGCAAGTCTTGTAGACTACGGAATATTCTGAGATTTGGAAATATTTTTGGCCTTGAATTGATCTAGCTCTGTGCCAAATTTCAGGTGAGTTGAGGGAGTGATTTTTTTAATGATTTTTGATGCTATAAAGGAATGTATAGCAAAATAATCGGTAGTCCGTGTCCAAATATACAATCTCTATCCAGGGTTATCGTTCCACTTATTTGTTGTTGCGAAGTGAAAGATAACTCAGGGTAGAGATTTGGAAATATATAGAAAAATCTTTAAATATCTTCTCAAGAATATCAAAGCCATGATTAGTGATATTTATATGAAATCTCCTCTGCTTGTGTAGAGTCAAGTTTGTTCAAATCATAACCACCCCCACCCCCTGTGGGACCACAAACGGAGATCAAAGTTTTACATAAGAAACTAGTCATATTTACAAGTGAGCATCTTCATGAATAAAGATTTCAGTCTGTTCAAATCATGACTTCTTGGGTAAGGGAGGGGTTACAATTAGGGAATCAAATTTTTACAAATAAATAGGAAGAAAATCTTTTTAAAAAATTGATTTTTTTTTTCAAGAACAGCAAAGTTATTTGTTATATTAATTTGGAGGCATCCCCAAGTAGTATAAAATTTTGTTAATCCCTCATTATTTGTTTCATTACAGACAGACTCTCATCAATAGTTTTTCTGTGATAGCCGACAAATATGCCTCAAAGATTCAATGGACCGTGCTGAGAACATTGTTATCTGTAAAGTGAAAGACACTAGACAGCTCAACTCATAGAATTCACTTGACCGTGCTGAGTTATAATATTGTTATAACAAAGTGATGGACATACTAAAGAGCTCAACTCACAGAATCCAATGGACCATGCTGATATATTGTTATAATAAAATAATGGAAACACTAACTCAAGTTACAGGATTCAGTGGTGGACACACTTAATAGCTTAACTCACAAAATTCAATGGACTGTGCTGAGTACATTGTAATAACAAAGTGATGAACACACTAAATAACTTACCGTAACTTGTAGGATTCAGTGCACAGTGCATTGTGCTGAATAACTCTTATCAACACAGTGATGGACACATTAAACAGCAACACAGAATTTAATGGATATTGCTTGAGTGCATTCCTATAACAAAATGATATTGGACACAATAGCTTAACTCATAGAATTTAATGGATATTGCTTGAGTGCATTCTTATAACAAAATGATGGACACAGTAGCTTACCTCACAGGATTCAGCGGACCGTGCTTAGTACATAAATTTAACTCATAATTAAAGGATAACTCATGACCTCCACAGCAGATGACTCAAAGTTCACTCTTTTAAATCTGTGTTAAGGGATTAAATCACTTGATTTTAATAAGTGGAGAAAGCTCAGAATGCTACTACACTGTTGTTCATCTTTTCATACACAAAATTAATTTTTCTGAATATATTTTCTCAAGAATGTTCCCGAAAAGTTAATAACTAATTGATAAAAATGGTGTTTGTCAGTTGTGATACATGATGTTGTGCTGTCAGTAAATATTTTAACATTCATATTAAACATATTAAACATATCTGTCATGCAATGAAACTTGTTGAGTTTTTACTCTGCCTCAGTAATTGAAGAATTGGGGGCATATTTTAATTAATAGGAATCACATTGTTTGTCCATGTAATTTTGTCTAGGCTCTAACTTTGATTTGGGGAAACTTTGGAAGCACCTTCTTGTTACAGAGCTAGCTTATAAAGACCCAACTGAGTCCTGATTTTGATGCAAGGTCAATCCTGCAATGTCAAGGTCACAGACTATAAAATTATCAAGTTTTTGTCTGGGTCATAATTTTGTGAAAGAGAAACACTAGAAGCTCATACTTGTCACAGAGCTTGCTTATAATGACCCAACAGTGAGTCCTGATCTTGATGTAAGGTCAATCCTGCAATGTCAAGGTCATGAGCCAAAAAAGTATTTAGTTTTTGTGTGGGTCATAACTTTTTGAAAGAGAATCACTAGAAGCTTAAACTTGGTACAACGATTGCTGATGACCTAAAACTGTGTTGTGAGCTTGTCCAAAGTCACTCCATTTAATTCAAGGTTACTAACAGAAAAAGTATGATCTTCTTGTCCAGGCTATAATTTGACTTTGTTATGGAGAACCACTGGAAGCTAATACTGTAGTTATATTTTATGATATAGAGATTGTGTGTGATCAAAGAATGTGTCTTGACATTTATCCATGGTCGCTCTGGTAAATTCAGCGTCACTGGTAGAAAATTTTAAACATTTTCTTGGCTAAAACTTTTTAATGGAGAGGAATTGGTACATATATATGAAAGTCCTGACTTTAATTCAATGTCATTGCAGCAAGTTCAAAGTTTAATACTAGCAGAAAAGTGTTAAAAATAAAAAAAAATCAAGGCTTTTTAACTTCACAATGGAGAATTACTGAGAGTACTTTGTACAAAGATTGCTAATGTCCTTCAAATTTAGGTCTTTGTCCCAAGATCATTATTGTCCATGCAGGCTATAACTTGTAATGGAAAAACATTGGAAGCTGGCACAGGGATTGTTTATGAACCTAAAGGCATGACCTTGATTCAAGGTCATTTTAACAAGTTAAGGTTGCTGGTATAAAAAGTATTAAAATCATAACAAATCTTTATTTTTCTTTGAAATGGAGAAATGGTGCATTTCTACATTTCACTTAATGATTACTTATGAACAAAGTATGAATGATTTTTAACCAGAGGTTTTTTTTTGTAATTTGAAGGCAATGTTTACAAATTTCAATACGGGCCTTAAAAATTTTCAGTGGAGGCGAGAGAGTGGGTTTGGGATGTTATTTTGTGAGCCCACTCACATTTTTGAACTCTTGTCACATTGACCTTGTAGTTAAATCTGTATAAGAAATAGTTGACAATTTTAAAAGAATGCTATTGCAAAAAATGCATAAAAATAGCAAAATCTTCCAAAGCTTTGAGAAATTTAGAAGTATCAAGATGGTCTTCCACTCTTCCTGTCAGTTATTAAAAGGATGCGTTTGTAGCATTTGCCTTATTATCATGAAGCAGTTTAATTACGACATCATCAGAATTCGTGTATTTCCTGAATTTTAATAAAGATACCCATACAGTTTGGATTTTTTGAAATTGCGTTCCTTTATGTTGATTTCAAAAATTCAACGGTAATCTAAAAATCGTTAATTTTATACTGTAATGTAAATAGACTACATGCACTAACTTCAATGCACAGTTAGAACTAGGGGGCTTTATTTCACAGGTGCATGTGTTCCCTGTGAAAAAAAACTTTTGTCGTGATAACAACAATTTTGATCTCTTGACCTTGGAGTTAGACTTGCGTTTTAGAAACCTCAACCTTTGCTAAAAACTGCAATGGTATGCGGGAAATCAGTGTCAGTACGCAAACACATTTTATTTTCTTTTACAACACTTATGATACTCTTTGAATGAGGAATGTATTCTGCTGATTATGTTGAGTCTCTGTGTTGACTTTTTAAAAAATTCTTTGTCCATGTTGTCAAGCGAATGAAGTTGGGTTTTGCCCCCCCCACCCCCCTCTCCCCGCACTGAAATTGCTTGTCTTTGCCTGAAATCAACTGTTTTTACATAGAGTAAAAGGTCTTTATGATTTTTTATAAGTATACGAGGGGTTATCAAAAAGTTCGTGGACTGAGGCTATGAAATTAGTACTATGTTGTCTGAGTTTACAAAATTTATAAGAAACATAAAACAACAAAAAAGAAAGAAATGTTGAAAATGTTAGCTTGATACGTTCATTATTTCCCAAATTATTATAAAATAAAAACGACATTATATGAACACCCGGCGCCGTCGCCGCTTAGTTTCAACATGTTCATGACGTTTGACAACGTCATTATTTTTCAATGTCCGCTTCTTCTTCCTCGTACACTTATTTTGATGAGATTCTAAAGAGCTAAGTAAGGACTACCATTGCTTACAAAAACTTTACTATTTTATTTTAAAATAAAATTTATGATTTGTGGTTTATTCTATGGATAGAAAAGATGATGATAACTCAATAATTTAAAATTCATTGATGTACCTAAAGCGGTTTTAATTTTATGGTGCTAGTCCACGAACTTTTTGATAGCCCCTCGTACATGTATATCTGATATACATGTAAATGCATATTCCTCCAAAAAAAAAAAAAAACAATTAAGATCTTACTAAAAGTTTGCCCCCCCCCCCCTTTTACGTATAGAGGCATTTAATACCCCCTCCCTCGCCAAAATTTTCTATTGAATTATTTTCTGTAAGTGGGAATTAGATATATTGCATTTAAAAGGGAATATTCTTTCCTCCTACACATGTATTTCGTACTTCCGTGCCTCCGTTGTATAAAAATTCCTCATTTCGCAAATTTGTGTAATTATTGTCTTTCATATTACTTTTTTTTTAGTAAATCGTTAAATCTATGTTGTTTTTGGATTTTTCATATGGAATACATTGTAAGTAAGTACTAGAAACATAATTCATGAGAAAAAACATATTTTGACCAGGGGTATATATGGGCATGGGGAGGGGGGTGTCCTGTCCACAAGTACATGTACCTGTAGTCTCATTTGTGAACATTTCACCCATTTACAGAATTTAAAAATGAAAGAAAAAGAAAGGTTTCATTAAATGCATATTTGTTATATAAAGACAGATCAACAATTATTTTACTTAATTAGTATACTGTTATTTTTGCATAAATTACGATTTGGTGAATGTAATTTTTGTTTATCCGGAAATTCTACCGTTAACACTTTACATTTAGTACTTTTGTATATCCGGTGGCGTTTTGGTCTTGGCATTCTCGCCATTTTGGGTCATTCTTGTAAAGCAGAATATCTTGCGTAATTATTGGGTAAGTACAAGGTTTGATGCACCATTTTGATTTAGAACATAAAACAAAATGTTCTTAAAATTTATTATATATCAAATGTGGTAAAGTAAATGGAAAAAGAAGTACTATATAAGAATCCCGCTAATACGAATGAGGACAAGAAATGGCGGCGGGAAGGCAACATTGCGTCTGTTTTTAAAAATAAAATATCTGTTTATTGATATGATATAGCAGGACATATTTGCATGAAATAAATAAAGTACTACCGTAATTGTTTGTTAATAAATTAACATAGTGTGTAGGTTTTTGCAAAATTTGTTTAATTATTAGCTCGAATTTCCTCTAAATCGTCAAACTTTTTTTGCCATCTCTACCCTGAGTTATCGTTCCACTGGTACTGTTGAAGCGAATCATAAGACGCCCTCTTTCGAAGGGGAAGGGGGGGTTGAAAAATTAAAAGCATTTTCATATCCCCCACTCATAAATTTATTTCATCTACAAAATATGTACGGCCATTGGCATTGCAGCTGCAGATCTGTAGCTCTCCGAAAAAAAATCGGTCATAATAAAGTACGCCTGCCGACGCCTGCCAGGAGAAAATACACCTGCCGAGAAAATCCATATGCCTGCCGTTTTATTTATTGAATTAATTTGTGTTTTGTTTAATATATTACTTTTACAGACCTTGTAGTTGATGTTTTAGGAAACAAAAATAATTTTAAAAGCACAGAATAAAGTTTTTTATCGTTTTAAAGTTCGCATTAACGGCATGGAACACGCCTGCCGAGAAAATCTAACGCCCGTGGTGTTGTTTTTCTAATATCTTATTACAATATTTTTTATTTACAATCCTTTTATAAAGTATTTGGATAATATTTCACCAAAAATTAATCCAAAAAATATTTTAAATATATATAATTTATTCGTTTAGAGTGTGATACAAGAATTTGTCGTATTAAAGGAGATAACTCTTACTTGACAATTAGAACTGCTGTGTGAAGACCACAGACATCGTGCTTTTCTTTCTTTCTTTAATACATAAAATTTTAGGTATTTGATTTGTATTTGTTATAGAATTTACAGAGGCTCAGGAACACACATGCAGTAAACACTTTGAGTTTTACGGGTAGTTATTTTGAATCAGAATCTGAAATATTCCTATGTCTATCGAACTTTTTAAAACATCAATTGAATTATTATTTCAGGTTATATATGCAACCAAGTTATAAAAGTAAATAAAAAATATTACAGGTAAGAGAAAGGGAATATAATTAAGCTATTCCTACACATCCATGTATACGTCAAGCAGAGAAGGAAATAAACGAAATGATTAAGAAAATCAGCATGTACGTGTATGTATTTGATCACATGACGTGTACAAAATATCGCTTATATACTTTTATATTTAAATCATTCCTTTTCATTCATGTAGAGAAAGGGAAGATACAGTAAATCAAATTCTAAAGAAAATTAATAACCCAGGCACTTGATCATGTTGATTTTCCACACTTTTCTTTAAAAAAAATCATAATAAAACTTGAAACCCACACCAAATGATTCGGTATGGGGTTTTAATTTAATTTTTTTTTTCAGATATAATTATGTAGCTTCAAAGAACAGTTTGTACTGTAAATTTTACTGAAAGCATGTTGTGTTTATACCATGCATGCAACATTTATGAACGATCTGGTCTGTCGTGGAAATAAACATAACTATTAAAAAGTTACTAATTTTCAAAATATAAATACGTTATTTTTCATCTTAACGTTTCAAAGTTTCGTCTATGCAAAGAACTTGGAATTGATTTTATTTATTTCAAATAGAGAAAATTTAATCCCCCAAAAGTTTAAAATTTGTCTACAATGATATGAATGTCTGAATTTATGTTTACTGTGTATACACAGACTTCACAATCGATCTTCCTGTTTACCTGACCAGTGCGTAATATTATGTGGTATTACATAATTAGGTACTGACAAACTAAGGAGATTTGCATGTGCGCTATACACACTCCATGGAGGGATAATATATCATGAACCACAAAATCATAATTAGTAAATTTTACATCTATCTGGTTATTAAATAAATAATGAATTTTAAGAAAATGTGCATCGATGGAGAAAATTTCGAATTTAATACAAATGTCTGTTTATATCAAGCTATTGAAAAGATCGTCAATTTGTATTCGAATGTTGCATTTTAGAAATTTGACCTGACTGAGAATGTATTAAATCCAGTAACGAAAAAGATAATTTATATATAGATGCAATGAAAAAAAATATAATAACTAATTGACGTACATTTATACAAAACTATGAAACACACCAGAGTCGCAAATATTTTCCTTCTTCCTTTTTTTCCGATTGGTATTGTAGAAATTGTTATAATGGTTACACAATCGGTATCTTGAATTAATATACATAAACATGTACATGTATCTTCATAAAAGTTTACCGAAATTTTTGTTGTTTATGATTCGACTTTCTTCCTTTTTGGGGAGAGGAGGTCGGGGCGAGAAGTAGAAGCATGAAAAGAAATTCTACACGTATTTACAAACTATAAGTCACATCAAGATCTCATATCTAGATGTTTAGACTGATTTGAACCAACCAATATTAGGTCTGATATGCATGATATTTAATAAAAATCGAATATATTCATTGTATTTGTGAGGTGCAATGCAGATTGCCATTATTTTTTCCCATATACGCTGGTGTATGTAGATCTATGTGGTAAATATGGAATGAATATTTCAGTTCCTCTCTTTTAATCATGACCAATTAAAGGTTATCTCTTTTAAATTTGATATTACTATATACTCTGGTGTAGATATTTAAAGGAATAAAACATTTCCTATTTTTCCATGTTCAGTATTTATCAAATATTAACTCTATGTGTATCGATATTTGTCATGGCTGCTGAAAAAGGCACAATTTATTTTTACATGGTTTTCGTGTTTAACGGGCTATGATGTCGACAGTGATTAAAAATTTCGTCTTATTAGAAGTAAGTTGAATGTAAAAACAAAAAAAAAAATTATTCTGCCTGCAGTCGCCCGTATTTAGAAAATATTTTTGCACCATTACGGAGATGCTGCGGAATGGTAGCCCTCTCCAGAAAACATCAGATAAAAAAATCGGAGAGGACTACGTTATTGCAGCTAGTGTGCTCTTGGACATATCTAGGTAAGGCCATAATTAATAAATTACTGGATTCTCATCCGAATTTTTTTAAAAATCGAGGCGGGCGGGCGGCTTTTATTTTATATTTTTTATTTTTTAAATTTTGCATATTTTTAGCTCACCTGAGCCGAAGGCTCAAGTGAGCTTTTCTGATCACATTTTGTCCGTCGTCCGTCCCTCCGTTCGTCTGTCCGTCTGTAAACTAATCACATTTTCGACTTCTTCTCAAGAACCACTTGGCCAATTTTGACCAAAATTGGTACAAAGCATCCTTGGGTGAATGGGAATTTAAATTGTTAAAATAAAGGGCCAAGTCCCCTCACAAGGGGAGATGATCAAGAAAAGATGAAAATAGGGTGGGGTCATTAAAAAATCTTCTTCTCCAGAACCACTGGGCCAGAAAAGCTGAAACTTATGTGGAAGCATCCTAGGGTAGTGTAGATTCTAAATTGTTAAAATCATGACCCCCAGATGAAGGACGGGGCCACAATGGGGAATCCAAGTTTTACATAGAAATATATAGGAAAAATCTTTGAAAATCTTCTTCTCAAGAACCACTGGGCCAGAAAAGCTGAAAATTATGTGGAAGCATCCTGGTATAGTGTAGATTCTAAATTGTTCAAATTATGACCCCCGGGGGTAGGGCGGGGCCACAATGGGGAATCAAAGATTTACATAGAAATATATAGGAAAAATCTTTGAAAATCTTCTTCTCAAAAACCACTGGGCCAGAAAAGCTGAAACTTATGTGGAAGCATCCTGGTATAGTGTAGATTCTAAATTGTTCAAATCATGACCCCCGGGGGAAGGGCGGGGCCACAATGGGGAATCCAAGTTTTAAATAGAAATATATAGGAAAAATCTTTTGAAAATCTTCTTCTCAAGAACCACTGGGCCAGAAAAGCTGAAACTTATGTGGAAGCATCCTGGTATAGTGTAGATTCTAAATTGTTCAAATCATGACCCCCGGGGGAAGGGCGGGGCCACAATGGGGAATCAAAGTTTTAAATAGAAATATATAGGAAAAATCTTTGAAAATCTTCTTCTCAAGAACCACTGGGCCAGAAAAGCTGAAACTTATGTGCACATGGAAGGATCATGGGGTAGTTTAGATTTCAAAATGACTAAATTATGATCAGTGGGGTCGGGTGGGGATGCATTATGTATTACAAGGGGGAAATCTGGTAAAGAACAGAATGGTCAAAGCTTCTCAGGTGAGCGATGTGGCCCATGGGCCTCTTGTTTATTGACCTGGTCAATCAGTGTAATTTTATCTATAATACCCAAATAAAAGTCATTGTAAAGGTTCAATTATCTCTTACTTTACACCAGCACAAATCTTTTTCAACCAATGATCCTTGTTTAAAATACTTATGTATTACAGCAATTACCATCTTTTCAGCTGTCAAAATCGTGTCGACTTTCGCGGGATTTAAAACGAAAGTAGAATGGTAGATGAATACCGATCCCGATCAGAATTAAGACAAAGAAAAACAGAAATAATAAAAAAATTGAGGCGGGGGTATAAAATCGGGGCAGGCGGGGATGAGAATCTAGGAATATTTTTATTATGGCCTAAATTTCAAAATAAAATAAATATATCTATAATGTTATATTTTAATTTATTTGTATTATATACAACAGCTACATTGTTTATGAAAGTAAGTCTTATTAGACGAACAGAAAATGCTGGTATAAGGCATATAAAGTATTGTTAAGTACGAGTTACCAACTTACCTCCTTTTATATTACTTCCAAACTCGTGTGTAAATTTTTATTGAATCAAATATTCCATTCATTTTTTAGCTCACCTGAGCCGAAGGCTCAAGTGAGCTTTTCTGATCACATTGTGTCCGTCGTCCGTCCGTCCGTCTGTCCGTCCGTAAACTTTTCACATTTTTGACTTCTTCTCAAGAACCACTGGGCCAATTTTGACCAAACTTGGTACAAAGCATCCTTGGGTAAAGGGGAATTTAAACTGTTAAAATAAAGGGCCAAATCCCTTCACAAGGGGAGATAATCAAGAAAAGACAAAAATAGGGTGGGGTCATTAAAAAATCTTCTTCTCAAGAACCACTGGGCCAGAAAAGCTGAAACTTATGTGAAAGCATTCTGAGGTACTGTAGATTCTAAATTGTTAAAATCATGACCCCCAGGGATAGGGCGGGGCCACAATGGATAATCAAAGTTTTACATAGCAATATATAGGAAAAATATTTAAAAATCTTCTTCTCAAGAACCACTGGGCCAGAAAAGCTGAAACTTATGTGGAATCATCCTCAGGCAGTGTAGATTCTAAATTGTTAAAATCATGACCCCCGGGGATAGGATGGGGCCACAATGGGGAATCAAAGTTTTACATAGAAATATATAGGAAAAATCTTTGAAAATCTTCTTCTTAATAACCACTGGGCCAGAAAATCTGAAACTTATGTGAAAGTATTCTTGTATAGTGTAGATTCTAAATTGTTCAAATCATGACCCCCGGGGGAAGGGCGGGGCCACAATGGGGAATCAAAGTTTTATATAGAAATATTTAGGAAAAATCTTTGAAAATCTTCTTCTTAATAACCACTTGGCCAGAAAGCTGAAACTTATGTGGAAGCTTCCTTGGGTAGTGTAGATTCTAAATTGTTCAAATCATGACCCCCGGGGGTAGGGCGGGGCCACAATGGGGAATTAAAGTTTTACGTAAGTATATATAGAAAAATCTTTGAAAATCTTCTTCTCAAGAACCACTGGGCCAGAAAAGCTGAAACTTATGTAGAAGCATCCTGGAGTAGTGTAAATTCTAAATTGTTCTAATCATGACCCCCAAGGGTAGGGCGGGGCCACAATGGATAATCAAAGTTTTACATAGAAATATATTGGACAATCTTTGAAAATCTTCTTAAGAACCACTGGGCCAGAAAAGCTGAAACTTATATGGAAGCATCCTGGGGTAGTGTAGATTTTAAATTGTTCTAATCCTGACCCCGGGTGATTGGGCGGGGCCACAATGGAGACTCAAAGTTTTACAAAGTAATATAAAGGAAATATCTTTAAAAATCTTCTTTTCAAGAACCACTGTGCCAGAAAAGCTGAAACTTATGTGAAAGCATCCACAGGTAGTGTAGATTCTAAATTAATCCATCATGACCCCTGTGGGTAGGGCGGGACCACAATGGGAAATCAAAGTATTACTTAGAAATATATAGGAAAAATCTTTGAAAATCTTCTTCTCAAGAACCACAGGGCCATAAAAGCTGAAACTTATGTGGAAGCATCCTGGGGTAGTGTAGATTTCAAATTGTCTAAATTATGATCAGTGGGGTAGGATGGGGTCATAATATGTATTACAAGGGGGAAATCTAGTAAAGAACAGAATGGTCAAAGCTTCTCAGGTGAGCGAAGGGCCCATGGGCCTCTTGTGATTTGTTTGTAATTAAAATGAAAGCCAAATACTTAACTTAGTAATATATTTTTAAATAGTACACAGTAAAAGAAACAACAACGCGGGCGTGTAGATTTTCTTGGCAGGCGTGCTCTACGACGCATGCAAACTGTAAAACGAATAAAACACCGAATATGTGCTTTTTAAATTATTTTTGTTTGGTAAAACATGAAGTAAATAGTCTATTAAAATAATATATATAATAAAATTTAACTTTAGACAAAAAATAAAACGGCAGGCGTATAGATTTCCTCGGCAGGCGTATTTTCTCCTGGCAGGTGTCGGCAGGCGTATTTTAGTATTACTCGAAAAATATATAGATAGACCAGAGAGCTACAGTGCTGCCCATTGAAAAAACTGTATATTTATTGCGCACAAAAAAGTGCACTTGGTTCTCGATTTATTTCAAACTGTGATCTCAAAATATTACTAACCGTGTGTTCCTAACATATTCTTTCACTGTTTCCACAACCAAACATTCCTCATAATTGTTGTTAATAGTACTCCTGACCCTGATATTGTAATCATCAAACATTTTGCTTATTTATACTGCCATTTTAGTTTCAAAGATAATTCAGTCCAATATGCTTCGTTCGGATGTCAACTACGAGAGTACTTGATAGAAGATAAAAGAATTTTTTGAAATTTTTCCTTATTTGCAATTGAGGTAAGAATTTGGAAGAATTAATTGAGAACCGAGCGCACTTTTTTGTGCGCAATAAATATACAGTTTTTTCAATGAGTGGAACTGTAGCTATATATTTTTTTTTCGGAGAGCTACAGATCTGCAGCTACGGCCATTGATGTTCATGATGTTAAAACAATAAATTCCTGCAAAATATATGAAACTGGCAAATTTAAGATACTGTTCATACATGACAAATGTAAAAATTGTTCTAACAGTGAGACAAACAAAATACATGATGTCTGTCAACAAACTTCACCCTCTGCACACATTTCTAGAAAATAATCATGTATTATATTTAAAAACACTCAATAATTTTCTTGCAGAAAAAGAAACTAAAATTAATACTGACATCACTAAATGACTGATGTTCTATACTGTAAATCGTTTTAATTCCACGGTGTTAAAATTTCACGATTTCTCAAAAAGTACCAATAGGGATGGTTTTAGTTTCACACTGCTAGAAATTATTCTATATTTCCTATAAAAATTTAGATGTTCTTTTGAACTAATGATAGTATTCACGATGGGTTACCGTTTAATATTGTTGTACCGATAATCGGAAAACATCAATTGTTGACAAAAAAATGCTACAGATTCCGATGATCAATTATAATTTTTCATAATGGATCATCGGAAACATACTTCTAATAATGTACATTCCAGAATTATCTATTTCTAGTTTAAAATTTATTTATTCTTAATGAAAGAAAATTGGCATGTGCTTCTGATACTTGCTAACTAGCACGAAGCAAAGGTGCTCAGAAACCGCGAGTGTAGGGTCATAAAATTGATAACTTGTTCGCCCACATGGCGAATTAAAAATGTGCAGGACCATTCCAGTCCCCTTACTGAAAACACGCTTTCCGCAAGTTTTTTCTTCCAATCAATTAAATAGATAAAAGTAACATGGTCCTATTGTTCGTAAATACCTTTCATCTAATCCATTTACCAGTACTACTAATTTGTGAAATCTTTAAGAACAATCCTTTTTTTTTTCTTATCCGAATTTCCTCCATTCCTCTGTGTATCGGTTATACGTGGTAGATATCCAATTAAATTATTTCCAATTACTCAGTCTTATGAAATGAAAGTGTTATTAGGTTTCTGCTTATTCCAGATAAGTTTTAAAAATATTTAAACTAAAAAAAATCTTATTCATGAATGTGATGGTGTCATCCGTTAGCTACTATTATATAATAAAGTCCAATGACCAGGAAAAGGTGATTAAGTATATAACCTTGCAAAAAAGGATAGTTAAATTGTTAATTAAATTCAATTTCATTTCCTATGATGAAATATTTATGCGAAATTTATTTTACAAAGTAACTTAAACTTCAATTTTCATTTTAAACAAATGCACAAGTGTATTTTATCATGTTTATATTTAATTATATCTAGACTTTAATTGACCAAGTGATGTATTCAAAGGGTTCAAAAATCACAGAGATTTTGGCTTAACAGATTTAGCTGTAGGCTCCTAACTTTAAATCTTTAGGAGCCCACTTGGCTAGTGGAAATTTTAGTTAAGTTTAAACCATGCATGTATTTTTTTTTATATACCAAACTATGACATCCGATTATAATCGGTAAAATCGCATCGGAAGCAGTTACCGATTCCAACCGATGATCGATTGTGAAAATTAACCGATGTCCCATCACTAGGGTTTAATTTGAATTATATTTCGTGGAAAAATGATGTATCACAAACATACTGAAATTAAAACCATCATGATTATTTGCCAATCTACAGTAATTTAAGTATTTTTTTCATATATAAGTAATTCTTCTGCAGCCAATATTCTTCTCAATTTTAATTGCAGAATTTATTAGAAGATGAGCTGAGATTCAGCAGTGTCAAAAATGGTAGATGCAGAGACCCAGACGTATACCTCTCTGTCAGAGGATGCCCATTATATGGTAAGAGGATGTAGACTCAGCATGACTGAAGGGTACTGAAAATTAAAATATAGGTATAGAAATCAGGATGTTATTGAATTCAACATTTGAAATCTTTAGAAAAATATTGATTGATTCAGTTTATTTTCCCTCCTCACCATGCTCAGTTAAAGCAGATGAACAATTTGTAAAATAATTTCTAAAATAAGCTTATTAATCATGATTTTAGTTAATTATGACTTTTTGTACAAGATAAGTAATGTAAATTTATAAGTTGACAGATGTCAAGTGGAATGTTCCTAAAATGTATATTGAAACTTTGTTCTTTATTTTTAATAGGTGCAGAAGGCTGTAGAGAAAGGAAATGACATCTTCTACGTTAGTAATAATCTGAATACAAAAGAAACAACCTACTTTGGGACAGATCTGGGCAAGAAATTCCTGGATAGTAAACGGGAACTGCTTTTGGAGTTCTACAAGTTCTGTGTTGGTTAGTAGATAACATGGTCACAAATGGTAACTTGAAATATTTTTATATAATTTTCTACAATAAAAGTGAATGCGATTGGGCAGCAGGCAAAGCCTTTTTTTAGCCATCTGTGAAATATTTAGTATTCTGTAGACATACTTTTTCCACTGGGTCATAATTCCACAAAATCTCAATATTGGTTTAATCTGCGGGGAGAAATTTACACAAATTTCCTAGACTATCACTTTATACCTTACATGTATATTGAATACAAGGGGACAAATTTCTGTGGAAAATTTCTGACCATGTTACTGTACATAGCATAGATTAATACCACGTAGAAAAATGTACTTCTACAGTAATTATAAATCATTGTTAAACATAGAAAACCATGCACAGGAAATGTAAATAAAATGCTCCGAATTTCTTCATACATAGACTGAAAAACAAGAACAATTTAGTTATAAAAAAAAATTAAGATCAATTGTAAATAATTTTGAAATGGTTTTTTTTTTTATTAGTACTTGTAATAATACATCTCTAGATAGTATTGTTTGACAATCATTCCTGAATAAAAAAAACTCAATCAGTGAAAATTGCAAATTTAATGAGGATCCTGATTGAACACTGGAGAGCCATTCAATTACTTGTGCTGATTTTTTTTTTCCAGAGACCTATTCATCAGAATCTGGTACAGTTGCAGTAATAACTACAGACAGCTCAGAAGAGCCCACAACATCAAAAATACAAGAAGATGAATCACAGGAGGAGGAGGAGATATATGACGATGATCGCGACGAAGATTGGAAGGCTGATGATAAACCCGCTGGCACTCCAAGTAGAATAAAACACACGACCAGGCGCACCCCAAAGGTAGAACAGGACGAAAAGACTGGAGTTAAGTGTGATAAATGTGACCAAATCTTTAAGACAGATGAGTATTTGAAGCAGCACATGCAGATTCATGAGAGAATCAACTACCATTGTCCAGACTGCGACAGGCCTTTCAGCGTGAAGCGATACATTTACAACCACATGAAAACCATGCACGGGAAGGATTACAACGCTTCCATCCAAATCAAGATGACTCCCTATGTACCGTCGGACTGCCCGGAATGTAAAGAGACATTTCCTTCCACGGAGATGTTGGAGATACACATGAAAAGAGAACATCAATCAGGCAAGCCGGCAAAGTCTAAAACACCTAAAGTCATCCCATTTAGAACATCCAAGAGAATTAGAAGAGCAACTGAGAAAGCGAAGAGCAGTCAAGATAATTCAGAAAGTAAAGAAGAAAATGAGGAAGCAGAGGAGGAAGGAGGAAAAGCCCCTGTTGAGAAGAAGGTCAATGAAACAGATACTCAGGAGTACGCCTTCGTCTGTCGAGTCTGTCAGAAGGGATTCAACCTCAGGCGATCTATAGGAGTTCACATGAGAAAATCCCATAACATGGCTTATCACGAGGAAGACAATGAGATAGAAAAAGAGGAGGTTAAAGATGTAGAAGAACCTGTTGTGGCTACCCCAGTTAAGGAAAAAGAGTCGCCGGAGGAAGCAGAAGGAGATGTGATTACCACAAGGTCTGGAAGAAAGTCAAAGAAAAGTAGCAGACTTCTAGAGAGTGAAAGTCCAAGCAAAGGATCAGAGAGTCCCAAGAAATTTACTTCTGACAAGTCCCCGGTGAAAGGAAAAGCAATAAAAAGAGATTCCAAACCAGTATCGGAGGAAGATGGTAACAAGGAAAACCTATCAGATCAAACGGATGATGGTGTGAAAGAGGTGGAAGAAGATAATGCTGATAAAGAGAATACTGGGGAGGAAGAGATGGAGGAAGATGGTGTTGAAAAATTGAAGGAAGAAGAGGAAGAAATTCATGAATCTGATGAAGAATACAACCCTGTGATGGAGGATGAAGAAGAGTTCAAACCAAAGCCTACCAGAAGCTCCATAAGAGGAACACGTGGTACAAAAAGGAAGCCTGTCTTTGATGAAGGTATTGAGATAAATGGAGTCATGTTGACCACCCCCGGCAGAAAAAAGAGAAAGGATGGCACTGTCAACATTCCACAACAGAGAATAACTAACCAGAATTTGCTAGAGGGTCGCTGTGAAGAGACAATTGTGGACAATAAGGTTTGGTACAAATGCCTTCTATGTAGCAAGACTATGAGAATGCGTACTGCAATTATCAAGCACTTGAAGACTCATGATGAAATGCTGGAGGGAGCGTATCAATGTTACATCTGCGACGTTCGCTTCTCTACCAACTTCAAGCTAGGAAATCATTTGAGAGACCTTCATAAAAAGTTGAATGCTTTTGAATGTGAGAAATGTAAACTCAAGTTCAGTGGTCGCAAGGCATTTATAGAACATGAGGCAATTTGTAATGTTGATCCAGACAGTGTTGCCCCAAATCCACCAAGTGAAGAGGAATTGAAAATTCAGACAACATGCATCTTTTGCAAGGAACAATTTCAGTCAAGGGAAGAGTTGCAAGAGCATGAAAACTCGCATATGTCTGAGAGTGGTGCCTTTCTTTGTCCACACTGTGAATTGTCCTTTTTGGAAAAAAGCTTTTGTAAGCTCCACATCTTGACCATTCATAGCCCAGATGAGAACTTGGTGGAAGAGAAGGATGTCAATCCGTTTCAATGTCGCTTGTGTTTGAAAATCCTCAACACCCAAGAGACATATGATTCCCACATGAAGATCCACGACGACGATTCCTTGATCTGCAAAATCTGCAACAAACGCTTCAATTACCCTTACACTCTGAGAAATCACCACATGCTGCACCACTCGGAGGAGTATGCCTTCAAGTGTCCTCACTGTCCGCAGCAGTTCAAGCTGAAGCGTTACCTGACCAAACACATCACCGACAAACACGAAGAGGCTGCCACACCAAAGGAGAAAGTGGACACCAAAACCTGTAAAATTTGTGACGAGCCGTATGTGTCCAAATTTGACCTCTTGGAGCACATGAAGGAAAATCACGAGCATGTTATCAACACCAACCGTAAAGCCACAGATGATCCAGAGAAGTTTGGCTGTGCCCGCTGCCACAAGGTGTACAACACTGTCGATGACTTCATCATCCATGTGTCCAATCACAGACCCAAGAAGAAACTGGTGTGTGACTTTTGTGGGAACACGTTCAACACCAAGTCAAACCTTAATACCCATGTGTAAGTATACTAAAGAGACTTTTATTTGACCATATGTCATAAATATTCAAATATTTGACCATAAATCTGTGATACTATATTTTTATTTTTATTCAAAATGTTTACAAAAGTTCAGTATGCAGTCTTGCTGGTAATTAAAGTTAACTTCTTTTTTTTTAAATTAGAGTTTTACTTGGCACACTTTTGATCATTACTTCATTATTAGCCACTTGTTAATGTACATATTTCATTCAAAAAAGATGTTAAAACTCATCTCAGTTTCATACTTTCTTTTTAAAAAATAAATAACTCACAAAATGCTGCAGAAATCAAGGGTTTTCAGTTTTTCAATCATGATTGTAGGATGCAAGAAAGCAAATTGTACTAATGCAAAGTTATTGTTTTGTCTTGCAGGAGATTGAAGCACAGCACAGTGCGTCCATTTGAATGCAACATCTGCAACAAGAAGTATGCTTTGCGCACCCTGCTGAACCAGCATGTCCGCTTCCAGCACTGCAACGAGAGACCCGTCTCCTGCAACATCTGTGGGAAGGGATTCCGAACCAAGAGTCAGCTCCAGAAACACAGCTACTCTCATCGGGAGAACACCATTGACTGCGAGGCGTGCGAACACAAGAGCTGGACAATGGAGGGATACAAAATCCATTTGGTGGCCACTCATCCAGAGCTGGCAATGGAGAAGAAGATTCACCACTACACTTGTCAGTACTGTAATAGAAAATTTGCTGTACTTCACCAGTACAAACGTCACCTGGCTATCCACACAGGTAATTAAAAAACAAATATTTTAATGAAAAAAGATTTTCTCTTTTCAAGTACAGTGAAGTAAATTCTGAAGGATTTATATAAGGTCAATATATAAATTGTGATTTACAGTCTAATTTTGTCATTTATTTTTCAGGTCAAAAGCCTCACAAATGCAATCATTGTGACTATGCCTGCTCAAGCCTGGGAACTCTGAACAGCCACATAAAGAGAGTCCATAACCCTTCCAGTCGAATCTTCCAGTGCAACTTCTGCTTCATGACCTTCGCCGAGGCTGGAAAAATGTACCGACACATGGACACCACGAAGCACATTGAGAACTGCCGCCGCAACGGTGTGGACCCACACACCATCAGAGAGGATGTTTCCTACCTCATAAAGAACAAAGAAAACACCACCTCCAGGCGGGGCTACAACATGGGACAGGCCATGAAGAAGATGAGACCAACGGAGATCATCATAGAAAATGTAGATCAGATGGAGCCCGAGGTTCAGGTGGAGGCAGTCGTGGAAGATCCAGGGGAGTATTCTCAGGAAGAGCTGAAGATTGAGGTCCCCATGGCAACCTCAGAAGAGGAGGTGACAGAGGTCATTCAGGAGGTCCAGGAAGTGCAGGAAGAAGAGGTCCAGGAAGGGGAACAGCAGATCGAGATCAACAGCGAGGTCCTGCAACAGATTCTTGAAGGAGCTGCTCTGGGTGCGGGCCAGGACCAACTGCCACAGAACATTGAGATCAAGACACAGCTGGATGAGGATGGTATGCAGTGCTTTGTGATTCAGCTGCCTGAGAACTCTGAGTTTACTGTTGTTTAATTATAGACTTAATAATTTATTCATGGTGAACAAGTCTTCGATAGTTGATATTTTTGTCATTTGTTAAAGTTGATGTGAATACTTGTTATATGTGGTTTATGCTACTGTTTTGATTTCCTTCTATATTAAGCCAGTATTCAGTATCTTAAAATTACTTAAATCCATAGGAAAATACTTTTGCTTAATGGTTTGAATGTTATTTTTGGGTAGGGTAGCATTGGATTCAAAAGGAAAGTTTTTTTTTCTCTTTTTCTGTTTTGTAAAGTATAGTATTAATTATAATTGAACTATTAGGCCAAAATAAAAAATAGTCTTGTTTCCTGCTACCCGACCTACCCTATTTTTTTGCACCCGACCCTAAAGTTTTTTTTAGCTTTTGGGGAAAAAATTCAAAATTTTAGAAATTTCATCATGTTCATGTTTCAAAAGTGAAAAAATTATATATTCTCAAGTTGTATTTCATCAAATATATGTTTAAAATATGGACTTTTGTAAAATTCCACTTGAATTGTGCATCCAAAGACATGGAATTTCACTTTGAAAGGTGATATTGACAGATGAAGTGATTCTTAGCTATCTAAGCTATGACATGTTCAATTTGGTTTTGTAGTAGTTCATATCCAAAAAAATACCGTTGGAAAAAATAAAATAAAATTAAAAAATAAAATAATTTTCCTACCTACCTACCCTATTTTTTTCTGGCTGGTAGCAGGAAACAAGACTATTATTTTTTTTGGCCTTATGAATCAAATGATTTCAGTATGATATTCAAAAAAAAGAAAGTTCAAACTTGGCAGTAATATTTTATGGAAATTGTGTTACAGGCAGTTGTACCCATTGTAAATAATTCATGTAATGTCACGATAGTAATATCATTCTCCGTAACATGTAGGTTTTGATTGTAGATTTCTCTGTTTTTATCCTTGTACTTCTTTCTTGGACTCTTCAGGTACCTATGATATATTTGACTCTCTGACTAAGGTACGACTTGGTGGGTTGAAAGTCATTCTAAATTTTTTTTTTTTTCTGAGTTTTTAAAAAAATGTAAAAATATTTACTAAGGCCATCCTTAAAAAATTGTTTGTTTGGAATTGCCGCCTGAAGGGTTTCAGACACAGGAGGGAGGGAGGGAAATTACTTTTTTTTAATTGAAGATTTTAAATTTTTGATGAAAATCTCGGTAAACAGTAAATACATTTTCTGCCATTTAAAGAAAGTATCTACTATTAACAAAAAAAACCTAATTTTACATAGATCTGACACTATATTTCAGTGTTTTGTTTGGTACATGTAATACATGTAATGGGCAAAAAAAAATTGATTAAATTAAAAAAAAAATCTTCCTACTTTTAGTCAATAAAATTTTTTCAGGAGGGGGCATTTCAATGAGGCGGGAGGCAATTCCAAACAAACTTTAATTTTATTTTGGCCTAATACTATAGAACTTGTATGGGAAAATGTACCATCATGTAAATTTATGTTGAAAGTAAGATCTTTTTCAGAGGTAGCATTTTGTTATGCAGGTGAAGTGATTCATTATCTTAAACTGCATAAAATTCAGGTACAATAATGACAGTCTTTTCTGTTCAACATTTATTTTGATTAACAATTATTTTATATTTTCTCATGTTATTTTTAAAATCAATACTTGATGTTAAATTAAGAATCTGTTAAAACACTACATTATACAGTTGTTAACCATTGCAAAACTATTTAACGTATTTGACAAACTTTTAATGTCATATCCTAAATATTAGATAGATTTTAAGGTAACTCATTATGAGTCTGTATAATTTATTTGAAATTCATTCAGTCTACCTATCTTTAGATTTTTTTTTTAATTTTTGGAAAGAAAAAAGGATTTTTGTGTAAAAATTATATAACATCTGTGTTCATTAAAGTTCTGTCAATATTTGACGGTGTTTGTTTTAAATTGATGCTTACAGCCTAATACAAAGTATGATTTTTGACTACCAGTTTTTTTTTATTTTAAGTACAGAGTAATAAGATAAGAATTCAAATTCTCTTGCAGATATGACATGTTCAGAATAAATGCAATTGATACTGAAGTAACATAAAAATGCTCATGTTGAAGGAAACCAATATACAATGTAACAGAATAATCCCTTACTGCAGGAAACCTACTTCAAAGTTTAAACAACAAAACATTGACTTGGAAATTTACTTGGATACCTTAACTCAAAAGTATCCCTCTGGCTAAGAACCAATGTCAGGTATGAGATTTTCAAACAAGGAGGAAATTATTGAGAAGGAAGGTTCAGTTTCAATACAGATCTTGCCCTGTGATTTACTTAAAAATGAAACTGATGTAAAAAATGAAAACTCTTGTATTTTAAATCATTGAAATTTCATGCATAAAAAATTATAAAAAATATTCTCACATGCATTTCTAAATGCTAATTGGGACGTCATAAACGTGCATTTCCCCATACTTTTTTAAAAAATGTTGCAGAAGTCAATTTTCAACGGTATTTTTCAGAAAATATTGTCCAGAGGTATTGTTTGAAATAGAGAAATGCATCAAATTAATGACGCTATATTCCTAGAATGGTACTCCTTCATGTCATATTCTTTCCTGATCTTTCAAAGCCGTAAACTCAACTAATATTTAAGCCACTTTCAGAACTTTTTGAAAACATTAATTTTTTAGGGCACAACAAAGCTAAAGCCATACCTTCTTCTTTGCAAAAAAGATGCTTTCTAAAAAAAAATTCCCATGAACAGAGCAGATCGCAAAAATTCGTTGGCTCGGCAAGTCATAGTGTTCAGACAAGATGTGTTTGTGAAACACTGATGCCCCCGTATGGCAACTTATGGCGAGGGTTGAATTCTCTCGAATGCATTTCAAACTCCAAAGGTCAAGGTCAAAAGTGTACCGAAAGGAAGGTTATAAGGAACTCACCTGTGAAATAGGTAAGCCCTAGTTCTAACTGTTCAAAGGTTAGGACCAAGGTTAAAAATGGGTCAAACTCTTAGGTCAAGGTCAAAATATTTTTACCACCTGGAAGGTCTTGTCACAATGAATACATAATTTATGTGAAGTATGAAAGCCCTATCTCCAACTGTTCTAAAGTTATGGCGAAGGTTAAAGTGTGGTATTATTATTTTTTTTTTGTAAAAGTAAATCAAACTCCAAGGTCAAGAGGTCATATTTTGTGGTACCCCAAAAAAGGTCTTGTCACAAGGAATACACATGTGAAATATAAAAGGCATAGCCCCACCCACTCAAAGGTAAAGTTGACAACAGACAGATAGGACAAAAACAATATACGTTGTATCTCTGGGATCTTTTGATCCAGAGGCATAAAAAACGGTATATAGTTTACCTCGTAAACATCAGTAAAAAATTCTCCAATAGGACGTTAACAGTATACACTCGATCATCCTTGTGTGCAAGTTTTATATGTTGATGCATCTTGGGGTCCAACATGTATCCATTAAGAAGTACATGACATGTACAAGTGTAGATCACAGTGACCTAGGATCTGAATTTTATCATTATTACATGTATATGTCAAAACTTTACTTGAAATAGTAATATCCACTTCAAAAATCAAAAGATGTGGAGATGCTTGCAATACTGGTGTGATTGAGGATGAAATTCATTTTGTTTTTCACAGTAAATTTTATTCCACTAAGAACGGCATACATGTACCTAAAACTTACAATATAACCAAGGAAGTATTAATCTTGACAATGAAAGATACATTTTACGATTAACTATGTTCATTTCCATCATTGTGACACGATCGCGGTGTTTTTCTTTGAAGTTTACTGTTCTGTATTAGCAATACAGAATGGGACTTTGGTGGGCGGAGCTACTCTTTCCGTTCTGTATTAGCCAACTATTCTGTATCTACAATACAGCACGGTCTAAAAATAAATCTGATTCAATTTAGCAATAGCACGTACAAATAGTAAATGCTGATGTTTTTCTATCATAAATTTTAGAGAAATACCCGGTAGTAATCCTGAAAATGTAAAATGTCAAAATTTCTCAATCACTTTTTAAAAAACTTATTCCACACAGAATCTACACGTAATTTAGATCCAAAGGAAAACGAAAATTCGCAAATTTCGAATAACATAATCTAATCTACGCGTAATTTCGATCCAAACGAAAAGATCCACTGTCCTCGTGCAAAATCATTCAAGTCCATTTTTCGCGTTTTAATCCTTCTTGCTTACGACAATCACACGTCTCTTTCACTACGTTTTAATGTCGCAAATCAATTAGAAAAAAAAATCCGTGATATCAAAGTCCATCGAAGAATTTCCTGTAAATCCTGTTTTTTGTAAATCTAGTTAAACCGGGATTTTAAGAACCCTGAAATAAATGATAATCAATCTATATCTATAGATCACAACAATTACGGTTAAATCCTCCACTTTATCCATTAAGACTGACTATCACTCGATTACGTCTACCCAGTTAAATTTTCAAAACTAATCTGACCGAATTTTACGTTTTCCGTGGAAATATATATACTGTGGATGCGTACTCCCCGTCGGGGCCTCATCTACACAACTCTGGCTGAAGATGCTGTAAAGTTATAAAGTGGGCGGAGCTATTTTTGATTGATCGTGTCACAAATCATTTAGAGAACTCGACAGGTTCTAGAACCCGTCTCGTTCTCTAAATAATACTTACAAATATGCCTTTATACAGAAGGCGTAGGTTTAAAGTTTTGATCAAATTTTATACTTCATTTCAACTCAACTGTCTCGGACAAGTTTTTAAACTTGTTATTTATTTCTAAAAGTCTTAAATACAGTGGTATACAGTAAAATACATAAAAAAATAGGTGTTGTTCATTATTAGCTAAGTGTTCGTATAAATTTACGAGAGTTTTCATTGGCTTTCGTCATTGATTGTGACGTCACGTTTCTCGGTAGCCCTAAGTTATGTTGTGGTTACGTCTCAATCCAACGACATTAGTCGAAGAGTTCGGACGCTTTTTTGTATCGAAGAGATTTCTCTGCAATTTCTACTGCTATACCCAAATAAATGGCACCGAAGATGCCGGAAAGAAAGACTAAGAGGGTAATGCCCCATTTTGTGTGTTTTAAAGCAAAGCAATAGTTGATTTATTGTCGTTTTCCACATTTTGCATTCTCAAGGGGGAAGGTGTGAA